TTGCCAGCCAAGTGCTTATCCTACTGAGCCATCTCCCCAGCCCCTTATATTTTGTAATAGAGCAAATATATCAGAAAATCTCTAATCTTGGTTTTTTTTTTTTAAGCACAACGTGGAAGTCCTTGGAATGCTTTCTGATGATGTAGAAACAGATTCTGTAGCCCCAGGTGAAAACCTCAAAATTAGGCTGAAAGGAATAGAAGAGGAGGAGATTCTTCCAGGATTCATACTCTGTGATCCTAATAACCTCTGTCATTCGGGACGCACATTCGATGCCCAGGTAAACAAGTTATATTTCAGTGCCTTTTATACTGAATACTTGTGGCATGCCATTTATTATAAGGGTAATAAAGATATATAAACCATTTATATATCACAACTATAAGGTATGTCTCATGCATAGTCTTTAAGAAAGCACAAGTACTAATTGGATAGGGAATATTTTTCATAAATTCTTTTTTATTTTTGGTCTCTTTGTTGATAAAATTTTAAATATCTCATACTTACTTTGAGAGCTTGTCTGGAGGTTCTGGCAGGGGAGTGCAGCTGTTCATATACCCTTGACTGAGGAACGGTCCTCCTCTATTGGGGGTAGTCATCCTATTTGACTGAGCCTGCAGCTTTGGGAGGGATGCACATAGACCTTTGAGGGAAGAAGGGGACACCCGCCTCACCAGCCAGATCAGCCAAGTCAACCTTGGCAATCAGTGGGATGACAGATGTCACAGCCAGATTGTCTTCACATCCTCTCATAAGCAGATTTTTGGGGAAAGGTGAGCAGTTCTAAGGATTGAGCCAGGGCCTTCACATTGAGTGACACCCTCCTTAGCCTTTTTTTTTTTTTTTTAATTTTTATTTTATTTTTAGCCTTTTGTTTTTTTGAGACAGGATCCCACCAAGTTGTCCACACTAGGTTTGAATTTGGCAATCCTGCCTCAGCCTGTCAAGAGTGCTGGGACTACAGGCTACCACATCAATGTGAAAAACAGATATTAATAGTAGTATATCGTTTAAGATGACCTTCCTTTTGATTAGAGCGCAGTGGTCTTGGAAGTTGTGGTCTGCTGATTTAGAGCAAATAACTTCCCCAACAGTCTCACGCACATTTTCTCCATGGCACTAAAAATCTGAGTTCTCAGGTGACAGTAATGACTGGTGTTATTAGCAGAATTTTTGAGTACTTTTACAAGGTCTGGCAACCAGTCATTATTTTCTTTGTGGTACTGGGAGGTGAACCCCAGGCCTTGCACATGTGAGGCAAATATTGCATTGCAGGGCACATACCTATCCCCCCTTTTTTGTGTTTCATCCTGAGACAGGTTTTCTTTATGTTGTTTAGACTGACCTTCAATTTGTGAGCCCTTTGCCTCCACCTCCCAAATAGCTGAGATTTACTGTGCATGTCACTTGCACCCATCTCGTTAGGTTTTTTTTTTGTTGTCTGTTGTGTTGATACTGGGAGGGCTTGCATCTTTTTTTTTTTTTTTTTTGGTGGAACTGGGGACTAAACTCGGGCCCTGGTGCTTGCCAGGCAAACACTTATTCTACTGAGCCATCTCCCTGGCCTCGCATCTGTGATTTTGATGCCAAATATCATGGTGTTTATTTTTGCTGGACTTCAGGGGGTGTGTTTTTTGTTTTTGTTTTTTTTTTTGCGGAACCAGGGATTGAACTCAGGCCCTTGTGCTTGCCATGCAGGCACTTATGCTGCTGAGCTATATCCCTGGCCTTGACTTTAGGGTTTAAAAAAATTTTTTTTAAAACATCTATCTTAGCTATCTGGTGTAGGGTCTCACTACAAAGCTCAGACTCATAGTGATCTTGTCTCAGCCTCCCCAGCGCTGGGGTTACAGGCATGCACCACAATGCCCAGTTTTGGTGGCTGGCTTGGCACGGGACTGGCATGGCAATGTGGTACCAGGGATTGAACCTCACATCCTTGTGCTTCCCCAGCAGGTGCTGAGACTGCTGAGTTACCTTCCTGGCCCTGGACTTTTTTTTTTTTTTTTTTTTTTTTTTTTTGCAGAACCGGGGATTGAACCTCAGGCCCTTGCACTTGCCAGGGAAGAGCTTATTCCACTGAGCCATCTCCCCAGCCCCTGGACTTTGGTTATTGATTGAGAACTATGGCAAATTTACATTTAGGTAGCTTGTAGATGGTAATTAGTTCATCTTGGGGAATATAAAGGAAAGCCTTTCTATAAAGTCTGTTTGCTACATTTTTAAGGCTGACTAGGTATTTGCCAATTTAGTAAAGGAGGATATTGAAAATTCACTCTGTGAGGTCAGGCAGTTTGACCCATCCTGTGAATAAAATTAGATCCATCACCTCTGGAAAGTTAGTGATGATATGCTTGGTTGTATATTATATGGCACATGGAATCTTTTTATCATAGAGATTAAAAGTAAGATTTTGTTTATCCAACAGATAGTGATTATAGAATACAAATCCATCATCTGCCCAGGATATAATGCGGTGCTGCATATTCATACCTGTATTGAGGAAGTTGAAATAAAAGTGAGTTTAAGATTATTAAGACTTCAATCATGACACTTTTTGGCAGTAGTAATGATTTTTATTTGCACTTCTGAAAGTTCTTTGTATTTTTATTTGGTACTTTTCTGATTGCAACTTTTTTTCTTGGGTAGACTTTTATCTGCTTGGTAGACAAAAAATCAGGAGAAAAAAGTAAGACTCGCCCCCGTTTTGTGAAACAGGATCAAGTATGTATCGCTCGTTTAAAGACAGCAGGAACCATCTGCCTTGAAACCTTTAAAGACTTCCCTCAGATGGGTCGTTTTACCTTAAGAGATGAGGGTAAGCAAGCTTTAAAACTGATGTCTAGTGTGATTATCTTTGGTAATCATCAGTATAATCTGCATTGTTTGTAGAAGTTCAAAGAAAAACATTCATGTTCTCTAATCAATAAATGTTTTATAAGTTGAATATAGTAAACTGCAAAAAGAATTGACCATGCATTTTAGTAGTATTACTCTGTATGAAGTAAGACTTCATCGTGGTTTGGAAAGCAACTAAATAAGACATTTCTGTAATGAAATTCTTTAATATGTATGGGTAATACTGGGGTTATATGACTTAGTTCAAAGAAAAATCAGTTTTCCTTTTGCATGCTCACCTTTGCCTTCCTCAGAGTGATGCAGGATAGCTGTAATTTTCTCAGAATCATGAAATTCTTAGGTGTGAAAGATGTTATGAAACATTTCTTTATGGGCTGTTAATATTTTTTGTTTGTTTGAGACAAGGTCTTATTATGTAGTCCAGGCTGGCCTCAAACTCAGTGCAATGCTCCTGCCTCAGCCTCCCTAGTGCTGTGATTACAGGCATGCACCATCATGCCCAGTTTTTTAATTTGAGACTATAGAACTTTATATAAAACTCATGGTTCAGTTGAAGTAAATATGTGACCATTCCAATCCCTCTTAGTGCTTGCCTATTCAGTAAATTTTTTTTTTTAGCCTCACTTCAGAGAAAATTTTAAAGAATTTCGTTTTATGTTAAATTCTTTTGATAGTGAAACTGGTTATTTGGTTTATTGTATTAATAATCAGACCCTAACAGTATCAAGCAGGCAAAAAGCAGAGATTAATGTAGCAGAGGTTTTTCTCATCATCTTTTTTTTTTTTTTTTCACAAGATCCTTTGAATCTCCTTCTATAGGAAAACTATTGGAAGCAAGCATCCTTTCACCAGGTGTTGTGGGGGGTTTTTTGTGTTTTTTTTTTTTTTTTTTTTTTTTTTTGGAACCGGGGATTGAACTCAGGCCCTTATGCTTGCAAGGCAAGCGCTTATTCTACTGAGCTATCTCCCTGGCCCCTTCACCAGATTTTTCTTTG